CCCTTTTGTGCGCATAAAACAACAGGAAACACCTCTCACACACAAATATGTGTATATATATATGCAGCAGCGTAAGTGAATCAAGTGAAATCTACTGCATTATCCTTGCAGTATTCTTGCTTCTGCGCTCGCTCTTCTCAGCTGTAGTATTTCTCATTTATTTCTCGCGGAAAGACATTGCAGGTGCCAGCAGCACTAAGAATTCCCATTTCGCCCGAGTGCTAAGCCCAAATCCATAAGCATGTGTGGTGCTGTGTGTGTGTGTGTGTGTGCGTGCAAAGTCTTTAGCACTCGCACTTGACTCGCCTGACATCTTTGTCTCTTTACGAATGCGAGTCCATGCTTCAGGTTACACATTTAGCGAATGCTGTAAATTCTATTCGGCCGTCTTTGTGCTAAGTGATGCGAGGCATGTAGACACACGTGTGTACCGGTGTTTTCTTACAATGCGTGAATAAATGCATTTTATTGTGAGTGTGGTGGTGTGGTGATGGTGCACACGCGGCTCGAAAGTTTCGCGGTGCGAAGACTCTTTCTCTCCCTGTTGGAATTTCAAATTACTTGGCAATTCTGTGCGTGGAAATTTCCGGTTATAACACGTACTTTTTGTTTAGTGACGCAGTTTAGCTGCAATTAGGAGCAAAACAGTAAGCTCTAATTGTTGAGAATTTTATATTCGACGAATTACAAAAACAATTTTATAAGTCAATTAATGTTTCACAAAAAGCTCAGCTTGCTAAGCTTCTGTATATATAATCTTCTTCCTGTTCATGTTTATCATGCACTTTGACCCGAATTGCAAAATATAATATGAAAGATTATGTGCTTAGCAGAATTCAGTGGCAGCCTCCCTCTTCACCTACTATCACCAGGATTAAGGGAAACGAAATAAGAAGAAGAAGACGGCGATATGTGTTTCGGTCTCTTCGACTTAATAACTCAACACTAAAGTTGACAGTTAAAGTGCAACGTGTGACGTAGGAGCTAGATCTTCAGCTTATAGGACTATCTCATAAGATATTGAGCCTCGTTTCTATAATTCCTTGCTACAAAGTGTTAGCGGAACCTCCTTACCGGCTGTCGAAATCGTAATATTAGCATTAGGCTAACCGAGATGATATCTTCTTAAAACAACATACAATATTAATTCGTCGAGAGTTTATTTTTCTTCTGGATTGCCTACCCAGCTCAGAGAGTCACCTTTTAGTAGAAACGCTGCGACGTTGGACTTCAAGATTAATATTGTTATTGGGTTGGGTAATTGTCTACAACTTCAAAGCTGTGACTGTCGGCAGCGACTGTAAATGCTATATGCTGTAATGCTATATTTACGCTAACTAATATCATTGGAACATGCGGGATACATGTTTGAGACGGTTGTCTTTCCATAACCTAGATTGGAAGCGGTCCTCGGTATTTCAACTGCTCAATTGTGATCACCGTGAACACTGCCGCAGGGATCAGTATTTGTATTACTCCCCCAGATAATTTATTAGATATATACGGAAGATATTATTATGTCTTGAAAGTTGTAGGCTAACTCTCGTGTTAAAAAAAAATTGACGTGTTGTGCAAAAAATCTTTTTAAATTGGACCACAAACTGGATAATTTGCAAAATACCATAGGCACCGAGGACAGTCAGGTTCACGTAACCAGAACGAATCCGAATTTTATATGGACAAAGACTGTCAACTAGGCATTCATCTAAATTATTTCAATAACTGCTGTGGACACGATGCTTTAATGTTTTTAAGTTAATTGATACTAAATGTCGGGCTGCATCGCTCGAAGAATTATGTTCCTACGACACCAGCAATTTAGAAATAGGAAGCGAACGCCAATTTAACTAAATTCGTAAAGCCCGAAAGGCTGGCCGATAATTTTAAGTGGCTTAAGCATAATGCAAATACACTACACAACAACAACACCGCATCATATTTAAACGGTTTACGACGCTTCGGTAGCGAAGATGAGCTATTAGCCGAGCGCCACATGACAAGTTGGTGGCTATCAGGTAAGAAGGTGTTCGACGAAGAGAAGAGGTGTGCTGGGGGTTAAGCGGAGATGGGGCGAAATAATGTCGACTTTAATTATTGCAACAAGCCATTATCGCTGCAATAATAAAGCAGCAGCGAAGCGACTGCAGGGTATACACATGTTGGTGATGCTCGGAGCTTAAAAGCTTTGTGGTCTGGGGATTTTGTTGTCGTCAAACTATATACTGTTTCGTGGAAACATTTGTGTTTAATTAACAATTTGTGAGTGCCGGCATAATTAACTACCGCATATTTGTTGATTAATAAGCCGCGGTGTATTTAGTTATGTGTTCGTTTGATTGTTTGCAAACTGAAAAGCTTTACTCTCGCGTGTTTTTATTTTCAAAGTTACACGTAGCTCAGTGTGCAGCAACTTGTTTCAGTTAATCATTAGCTCGAAAGCTCGTTAATGAGCTTTTAATTAGAAATTTCATAGTGGGATGGAAGCATAAGTTCTTAGTAGAAAAAAAAATAGAACGAATAGTTCTGGATGAAAATCTCTGTTAAACGTGAATTTTTAGATAGCTAGGAGACTACTAGAAACTTTAGAGTGATTCTACGTTGTAGCAACTTGTCATTCGTCACTTTTGACGTAAAAAAATTCTATACACATTCATTAAGAGAAAATTGATATCGATAACAGTAATTAAAACGTTGTTGAAACTTTAATACAAAGCAAATTTTACTAATAATGGGTATTTGTAATGAATATTGGAATACTCAACATAAATGAACTGCATGGTTAAAGAGATGAAGCAAGCGCTGTAGAGTACTCCAGGTGAATAATAAGTTCATTTACCCATTGTGTGCTACTTTGGGCGATGCAGAGCAAGAAATATCATGGTTACCTACAAGTGTAAACATTCACTGTGCTTACAAGTAAAAAAAAAATATCAAGTATGAATTTGAAGTATACTTTTGGGCGGAATTTTAATAAAGTATTAGGTATATAGTAAAAAAAAAACCATTATTTTTGCATTAAGTTGAATGCTTTAACTATTAATTTTCGTATCCAGCCTTATTCAAATGGTTCCAACCGGTTTTTCGTGCAATGTTTAGATCCTGGAAAATCGTAATCGATGTTTGAACTTGGCGATTTCCGTTATTTGATCGATTTTTTCGAAAATGGGTCTTCCAGAGCGTGTTGCATCTTTGACATCGAAATTACCGGAACGGTAATCGTATGTATATATATCAAATTTTTCCTGATTGACAAGAAATATTACATTTGCCAGTACTTTAATACAAATCTCTATTATTGCCTTTAAAATAGGCTCTCGAGCCAAAATTATAAGTATTCCACCGCTTAATCCAATTTTCTATACACTTATTATTAGTCTCGGTTGGGATGACTATTAGAGCCTTTAGCGAATGGCTGTTATTGGCTTCGGTTTTTCAGTTTCGGGAGCAGAGAAAAGTCACAGGAAGCCAAATCTGGCGAATACTGCGGTTGAGCGATAACTCTTGACCAAAAAGTCAGTGACAGTCATGCTAGAATGCAGTTATCGTGGTGAAAAATCTATAAATTTTTTGTTCACAAATCCGGTAATTACAACGAATTGCTTGATGTGAACGCCTGAAAATGGTCAAAATTATTGAGTCGTTCTACAAAAGATACTGAGATAGTCTACTGTCTCTCTGATGCCAACCTGACGATTTTCAAGCACTGTTTCTGTGAATGGATGACTCGCATGCGACAATTTTTTATGACCTTGCAGCCTTATCCCAAAGATTTGTGTGATTCAAATACTTGTGTCCGTGATAAAGTAGACTCCACAAAAATTGTGGGACAATTTCAATGCCCACGTAGCCATGATTGCATTGGAAACATACAATTTCAAGCAAACTGTTTGTTCAATTTTTTTTTTCATGGTAAAAATCTGTAGAGAAACTTTTCACGTCGTAAACAAACAGCTGCCCAACTCATACTCATGGACATATGGAGATTAAACTTCAACGAACATTAAAGAACTTTATACATTCTAAGAAGAACAAAATTTTGGATTCGGTTTGCGTGTGCAGTTTAAATGGGCCAGTCAAATGAACGAATCAAATTTGATCAGATGGTATTTCATTATAACTGTAGTTGTTATGTTGTTAGCGAGAGATCAATGGTTAAGTGAAGGAAAATATTTAATAATTTGAGAAGTATATGCGCCTAAAAGCATACTTTAACGTATATGTTATGTATATAAAACTGTTACTATGTTGTAATTATATAAACAGCTAATTTTTGCCACTATAATATATATATTTATGATATGATATTTTTCTTTTATCTTTTCTTCTGCTGTTCATGCTTAAATACATAACTAAAGTAGCACCTGCACTCCTTGGACACGCTAGCTTAGCTCATGGTTTACCACTCGCTGCACCAGCCTTGGCACCACTCGCTGTTAAGTAAGTATATGAAAATAATGCAGAGCGTAAAAGCGAAAAGAAAACTGCAAATAAACTAAAATAGTTGCAAGTTATATTAAATAACGCTTGCTAAGCAGTGTTTACTACCGAGAGCCACGTTGTGAGCTAATTACTCAAAATTTATTTGCAACGCAATTTTTTCTTACACTTTTAATAAAAATTCGCACACATTTGCTTCGCAGGACACTCGCCGCACCCGCTTTAGTGCATACCGCCGTCGCTGGGCATGGCGTGCATTACGGTTACTAAGCAGAAACACAGTTAAGCAAACGGAGCGTAGGAGTGAGTGAGAGAGCAGCAGTAATGGGTGGAGACGGAAGCGCTGAAAACGAAGCGACAGTACGCCAACGTCGTGACACTAAATAACAAAAACAAAAATAAAAAAATTAACATAAAAAAACTAAAATAAAAATAAAAAATTTAAAAATAAAATTAAAGCCAAGCAGTAAATAAGAAAAGAAGAAAATAAAATATTACACAATTATGTAGGAGAACAGCAGGAAATTACAACAAGCACACAAACACAATAAAGCAAATTCATCTGCATGCATGTACAACAACGACACCGACAACAACAACAACAGCAGCAAACACCACAACAATGAATAACAACTAAGACAACACAAACGCCAATAAAACACGCATGAATGGCAAACAAGAAAATACAAACAAAAGCGGCAAAAAAAGCGAGCAAAAGCAAGCAAAAGCAAAATGGCACTAGAAGCGGAAGCGTTGGTAAAAACAAGCGGGGGCTGAGGTGTAAAAAATAGACACGAAAAAGCGCATGCATAATTTGTAAATAACTTTCGTTATATATTTTGCGTGTAAAAATGTGGCAATAACAACAATAAACTATGTTGCAACAATAACATAAAGCGGCAACAAACAACAACATACACCTACAATACAACCGCAAGCAGTGCACGCGGATGTGGTTGTCAATATAGGCGCTGCACAACAGTGTAAGCCACAACGCCTAAAAGTATGCAACACAATTTACCACGCGAGCGGAAAATTACAAAAGCCGACCGCATAACAACATTGCACACAAATAAATGCATGTATGTGCGTGAACTGTGTTCACTAGTTGTCGCACACCGCTGCCTCTGCCTGCTTTGCCGATTTTCACTATTCGATTGCCTTCCGCCGTAATTTGCATTTCATTCGTGTGCTCGTTTTTGGCACGAAATTCCTTGCAACAATGTAGTTTTGTGCAACAACGCCTCAATATTTGCCAATACACTAGTATATATAATAAATATCAATATTCGTATGTGTGTTGGTGTGTGTGTCTTGCGCCAAAGCCTCCGAACATCACGCCAATTCATTCATTGTTATTCTCTCCATTTATGTTTTACTCTATTTGTATAAGTTGTTTTTATCGCGGTTAAATTTTACTTTTTCATTTGATGTTTTATGTTTGTCAAATAATAATACATAAATACATAATTCACTTTCTCTACACAATGCGCATTTCACCTTTGTTTGCGATTTCATTTTGTATATTATTTTCGTATTTATATTGTACGATTTTTTATGAAATGCTTAAATAAAGAAAATGTTAATACTGTGGAATAAGTCAAGATTTATTGGGTTTCACTTTTCAAGGTTTTCTGCTGAGAATTTCTATTAACGGAATGGTGGTTCGAGAAAAATTTATAGGTTATGTACAGTTGTGAAGAAGGCATATCATCTGATTAAATTTGACTTGGACTGAGGAAAAAAATGCATTTTCACGCATTTTAATATACAATTTTTTTATCGCCTTTAAAATGGGCTCCTGAGCCACTACAAGTACCCCAAAGTTTAATCCAATTTGTTATAAGTCTCGGCTGGGATGACTTTCAGTAGCTTCAGCTATTTTTAGAAAAATATAGCGCGCGTAGTTTAAATTGATCACTCCGAGTAAGATTTGATAATACTTCAAATATTCTCCGAAAAATAGTAAACAGCTCAAAAATGATTCTGATCACTACTTGGTAGTTAAAAACAACATGTTTTCAAGTAAGATTCATTTTATTAGATAGCTAAACAGCTAACTATACCTTTGAGTAGATATAGACGAATAATACGAATCATTCAATTCACACGATCAACGCGATTGAATGAAATTGCATAATGGAATACTTCAAATAATCTGAGAGTAGCAATCACTAAAAAGCTCGATAAAAGCTCCAAAAGAGTTGATCTCTTGAATAACATTTGAGAACTCAAAATGGTGTATAAGGCAATATCTTTAAAGTTTAACATTGTGAGAAAGTATTTCTTGAGAATGTACGTATATAAAAATATAATTGTACATACATACACTGCATATATGTATGTATATATATATACTGTGTATATATACTATATTGAAGGGGACAAAATAAATATTGATGAATAGATAAATACTTTTCAAAAAAAAAATGAAAATCCACCTTTCCCTTTGGCCACACCTCGTATATGGGTCTATTCCATAGAACGACTTTTAGTGAGTTTTTCAAAATTAAAGTCGAAACGACCTTCCTGGTTGCTTCGGTGTTAGAACTTGATAACAGGTACCTTAGCTTTAGGCCTGGTATATTGCTTAAATTTCCGTCGAATGTCCAAACATAGAAGTGATTTGAAATTTTATTTCGATTAGGCCTTGGCCCTGACGAATCCCTTAAATATTAAAATGTGAGTTAAATTTTCAGAACGCTAGAGCTTTTACAAGTTTCGGTAAAGCCTTTTAGAATCGAGCGAGCTGTTACTATACGAAAAGTAAGTACTCTATAATTATCAACCTGAAGCGAAGTCAGCTTAAAAAGTTTCCAAAAGTTTTTCAAGTAGTGAAATAAAACTGGTTAGTAAAACTAATTCTAAAACCAAAAAAATTAAAATATATATATACTTTATGTATCACTTTAGATTGAAAATTTCTTTTTTTTTTGGCATTATCGGGTTCTGTTTAAGTTACCACTTATGTAAAAGCCCCGTTTTGTAGTATAGATGATAAAGTGAGAAAATAAAAACCTGTCTTCCACTAAGGCATCCTCAAAACCTTATGAGAAATCTGGTTTGGAAACACATAAATTGAGTTCACGTGTAAGCTTAAACTCTAACAGTTCTGGCTTCATGGGAGATAATGCCAAGAGGTCGTCCGATGAATATTAAGTCTACATAAGAAATACTAAAATTTGAGAAGAAATGCGATTTCTTAACATAGTTACCTTTTAGCACGATACACTTAACCCAGCGATTCAACATCTTTAACCCGACTGAAAAATACAATTTCTGAAGGTTTGTTTCTTTCTGTATGGCGAGTGACTTTTTCAAGTTCGGAAACAAAGCTACGATTCGATAGAATTATTGACAGTGGTCGTTTATGAAAATATACTAGACGTTAGTTAAATTATTTTGCGATAGCGGCGCTATCGACCAGTGAGGCTACATATTTATCTATTTCTACATAGAATATACAGAAGTTGAACTTATGGTAACCTGAAGTGAATATTTTGTTCACAAAAGTATGAACGGAGAAGACATTGTTTTGGGAGTCATGTCAGATAACTGTTATTACTTTAACACCTAACCTTGCTTTCGATGACTTTATCGATATACATCTACACCATAAAAAATAATCAAAAAGTCTATTGTCTATAGAAATCAATGCTCAAATAAAATATTTCTTCAGTGGGGGTTTCTATATGCAAGCGCTGTTGTGATTATTAGCCGTACTGTTGAATTTCTTTTGTTATACATTTTCCATCGCTTGCTTCAGTGTTGATGCATCTTTTTTATTCGGAGCATTGAGTTTACAAGCAATACTTATTGGAATTTTTATACCCTGAATAGGGTATATAAAGTTTAGCACGATGTTGTCAACACTCAGAAGAAAATGTCGCAGATCATACACAGTATATATGTATATAAATGATCAGCGTGAGTCAATTAGGCTGTGTTCATATGTCTATCTGTCCGTCCATCTGTACATACGTGAACTAGTCTCTCAGTTTTTGAGATATATGTTAGATCTGATATTTTGCAAACGTGCTTCACAAGTACCTGGTCATTTGTCGGCATCGCCGAAATTGGACCACTATAGCTTTTAGCTGCCATACAAACTGACGGATCAAGTACAAGTCCTTGTATGGAAAAGTTTTTTGTTTGACAAGATATCTTGACGAAATTCGAGATGGATTATTGTTTAAAGCAACGCAATAAAATACAAAGAAATCAAATCGGACAACTATAGCATATAGCTGCCATACAAAATGATTGATCAAAATCAAGATGAAGATCTTTTTCTACCCTTTAATGTTTTAAGAAATGCACCTGTGAAGGACATTATAGCTTCGGTGTTACTGGAGTTAACGTTTTGCTTGTCGGTTGTACAAATATTTCATATACATATATCTATATAAATGTTTGTATGTTACCACATCATGTAAATGTGCCAGTTCAAACACAAGCAGTATAATGCAATTGTCCAGCGGTGACATATTCCTATATATATCTTAAGTCTTTTGAAAATGCTTGTGCAACAACATACACGTGTTTTTGTATTTCGTGGAATTTCAGCAGCAAATATTATTGTTGGTTGGTATATATCTTATCTTATACTGTTGTGGACATAGATGTAGCTGAATATATATATATATATATATTTATATATATGTGCAATATGTGTGTATGTGTGTATGAACGTATGTGTATATTAGAATCCCATTGTCTGCACGTGCCTTTGGGACTTTTATATTTTCACAATTTTCATTTGATTTCTGTACAGCTCATGACTTTACATGGAGCTTTGCTGGTGTGTCCTTTAATTCTATTAACAATTTCTATTTGATTGTGCTATATAGCATTGTTTATATGTATGTACATATCTTCATTGTCTTATTTGTATATTTAAGTACACATGACTCTTGCTTATGGGCTTATAGGCAGCAAATATATTTCTGATTGGTAAATATGTGTTTGTTTAAGGCCTTTTAAACATCTTAATATGCCAATAAACTTCTATCTATTTCTAAGAACTTGTTTATTGACTGTAGTTTTCAATATTATTAGCTTCAACTGACATTATTCGATTATATTTGCTTTGTGTGTGCATAAAGCTTAGGTAGGAGCTACTGGTATTATTAAAAGGGGAAGGGAAATGTTTAGAATGAGACGCCTTGAACTAATGATCTATTTTACCATAATTGGAGCTAATATGGTTCTATCTTCTTTGATTCCGAGTAGCATAAGAAAAAATCTCAAATTTTCACGTAAAATTTTATATATTTATATTACATATATCATGTGAATACACAAAATCTAGATAAAGATCATTTTATACCCTTTCATACTAAAAAAAATGCAGCTGTGTAGCGTATTAGAGCCTCGGTGTAACCAAAGTTAATGTTATTTCTAGCTTTTCTAGAGATTTTGGATTAGGCGCATAATTTTGGCTTTTTTGAGCTAGTATGAAACTAGTTGTGACCATTTCACCACATAAAAACTACTAAAAGCTTTTATAGAAGAGAAGACAATCGACTGACTAATTGGACTTGAGTTTTAAACTAGTGAAAAAGTAGTTTCTAACTAGTTCCATTCACAGCAGACAGCAGCTTACTCCTCCCTACAGCTACACTACAGCAAAAACTATCTATTTCGACTTATTTATTTGTTATTCAGCAAAGGAATACCTTGCTGCATATAAATCGAATATTTTGCACTTCAATTCTGGCACTGCACTGCACGCTAAGGTAACAAAGCGAATCTATCAGGTATGCTGCTCGTGAGGAACTTGCCGTATCTTTTTACATTGTCAATCAGCTGTACACGCCAAGTACACGCCAGTTATCCACCGGCACTTTAATATGCTTTTGTGTCAGATATGAGTAGCTTACAAGTAATTCTATAAATATTTTTCCACACATAATTATACAACAACAATACAAATACTACAACAAAATTTGTAATCACATAGCTTTCGGAGAAGTGCAAGTAAATTTGTCATAAAACCTTTAAACTGCATTGTGTGTGTTATTGCAGTAATTGTGTTTATTTTTTGTGCAAGACATTGTAAGCGGCTTGATCAGGATGCCTGTAACTCATCAGCTCTCTCATACATACAATACATACTCAGCTACATAACAGTTACAATATAAATTGAGCACACGCACATTTTCCCTTCTTAACTTCTATACATGCGCTTCCATAGTTCTGTGGGTGTGTGTGTGCGATTATAAATCCAGCCAACGGTACTATGCAACGCACTAAGCATGATAGATGACAATGCTGTTGATTATGTTGGAGTCGTAACCGATGCCAGCAATGATGCAGGCAATTCCACGTCAACTATGCCGTTTCACAATTTATACTACCAAAGTGATACCCCCTGTAGCACTGTACTTTTCACTTTGCTACAGAAATCCACCCACAAACGCATATATATTTCTGCACAATTTTGCTATTTCAACTTATTACTGTCAGCTCATCGTTATTAGTTCTCGGTTGTCAGCAAGCAAACAGCTGCTTTCGTGCTGCTCTTTGGTTTTGCTTTACTTCCTCTTCGTATTTGTTAATAGAGATTTTACAAGAAGTGATATGAAAGCTTGACAGTTGCCTTGATATGCTATTTGTAAAATAGCTTTGGGAAAATTTTTGAAAATTACTGAAATACATAATTTTCTTATTAACGCTAAGGCGATATGCTCAACAAACAGAAGAAGTAAAAATTAGAGTTTCTTATATTTTATATTCTCACTATCTCCCACATTCTTATATTTTATATTCACTTTGCGTCGTAAACTCGAGTTTATGGCACGGTTTGGAGTTTAACCTTAAATATTGCACATAAATATAAAAAAATTGTATATAACACGTCTTAAAAAACATTTTAATTTTATGTTTTTAGGTTTTTACATGACATGTTGACAAAATACGTTGTGCTTATTCATTCTGAGTCTTATTCACGAGTTTTTGGTTCGTCTTCTTGTTTGCCCTTAGATATTATTCAAATCAACGTAGTTTAACTAAAAAAAATTGTTCATTTTACACACGTTTAACTTAACTTTTATTTGTTGTTATAGAATTATAACCTAAATTTTATTTAAATATGGCTTCCGGTTCAATTTCGCTACTTTTGAATGTTTCCGGCTGCTTTTATAAGTTTTGAAATGGCAATTTGCGGTATTCCCAAAGATTCTGCCAGCTCTTATCGTGCTTGGATGTTTTTCGTCTTCGAAACACAAATCGCAACTTTTAAATCGTGCAAACCACTTTTGGCAACTCGCTCAGCTAGAGCATGTTCATCATAAACTTTCACAAAAATATCATGACTTTTGGCTGAGATTTTGTTCAGATTAAAGTAATGAAGAAACACTCTCCACAAAATACTCTTCAAGCACAAAGTTCAAATTATTTAAGTGAAAAAAAGTGTTGTTGTTTTCGCTTCAAACTGAACAGTGGCTTTCCAACGCATCTACGGAATGTTAGAACAATGGAATAATAACCAAGTTACGCCATCTCTTGGCAAAAGGTACGAATATAGTTATAAACTATACATATACATATAGTGTACTTAAATTTATAAAAAAAAACTAAAAGAAAGCTTGCTTCTCTTTCATTGATTCATCGCAAAATTATTTGTATGTATATATTTGATTTATATATTCTTGCATGTGGGTATATATTATTTGTGTACCCTGAACAGAGTACATTAAGTTTGTCACGAAGTTCATAACATTCAGAAGGCAACGTCGCGGACCCTATAAAGTATTTATTGTATTATATATAAATGATCAGCTGAGTCGATTTAACCATGTCGTCTGTCTGTCCATCTGTCTATATATAGGCGAACTAGTTCCTCATTTTTCTCTCAATTTTTGAGATATTCATTTGAAATTTCTCCTTAAGAAACTGTTTATTTGTTGGTACCACCGATATCACCGCATTATATAATATCATGCGCTAGCTGCCATACAAACTAACCGATCAAAACCAAATTTTTGTATGGAATCTTTTGTATTTGTGAAGGGTATAATAGGTTCGGTGCAACTGAAGTAGATGTTTTTAATTGTTAAATGTTCATTTAAGTACTACTTCAAAATGCATGTTGTCTTTTAAACTTGTCATTGTTTCGCTTTTTCGATTAATCAAAATTATTTTAAGCTCTTCTCAGTTCACTTGCGGTTCTGCGAAGATTTCCTTTTATGACTAAACGCTTTTTAATTGCAAATTCGCGTCGATTGCATCATGTACTTTTATAGCTTACATTAAAGCGCGTAAAAACTTGTTCATATTTTTTTATAAGAATGATGATAAGAGAAAAACCTGTTTCGATTCACAACACCCAGCTTAAATTTAAGATCTTCTTAACATAGTCGCACAACAAGAAGGAAGTATTTTTGGAGACAAAAACAGAGTGCATAACTAAAAACTTTGCGGGTATAAACACGTGTAAAGTTGCGGTGCTAGAGTCTTACATACAGCTGTTGTGCATAGAAATAAGATCGTTCAGAATAGGATAAGTAGGCAGAAGAGTTTTTGGCCTGAACGAGAGGCAACACTGAACCAACACTTCGTACAGGTGGTATCTTCATGAAAGCACCAGAACAAATCCCGATCCTAATCCAAGATATTTTAAAGTCTAAAATTGAGCTATAGTTTTTGATTTAATCATTTTCAAGGATCTAAAAATTGTTTTAAGTTGGGCAAGAGTATTATAAGTTTTAATTATTTTTTCAAAATAATCACTAAAAACTGCCCTCTGCCATTTTACATTTTGTATCTGACTCATAGTACTTACCTTCGTCCCTGAGTAAACGACTCTTCAATTCTTATAAAGGTTCTTGAAGTACCTTTAAAGTACATAATTTGATCGAAAAAAGTGAGGAGTCAGTATCGATGATTATATATTTAGATATAGAGCCGTCTTAATACTTATTTGCATTAATTATGACATTAACCACAATTTAATGCCCCTGACTTTATCTCTTATGTAAGTAGAGATATGAATGTTTCGCTCGAACTGATAAGTGTTCTTGCTTACAACGAAAAGCAATGACATTGACGTTGTACGACATGTTGACTAACAGGAACACACCCACCAAATATATGTGTAAACAGCCTTTTGTGTGAGGGTCGATTGATAAGTTAGTGAGTTAAGGTTTTGTGTTTTATGGTTAAAGATTTTGGAATATCATATGTAAGTGTTTTTATTCTCTTTAAAGAATAGAGTGATTGAATTAATTATGGCGACTATATTCGATTATAATTTCTGACAACTGGGAACTGACCTGTTCTATAGAATATAAAAAAAGTGTCGTAGATACCTTCTAGAAGAGTACCTTTTCGAGATATGTAGTGTGTATGTTCGTACTAAATTTGCATTGAATCTATCCAGTAGTCTATGATTAAACTCGACCTGATTTGCGGACACTTTTGAAAACAACCCACGATCTTTCGTCTCTATTGCACTTCGACAATGAAGAAAACCACTTTGTAGTGTGGCAAATAAATATCATCTATTGCTTAGATAGTTTATTGTAAGTGTGATCTATCTCTTTGTGACACACACTTACTTTCTCCGGACTTCCATTTTCATATGATGGTTTCTGTCGATGGTTTCTGGTATGTAAATACGGTTAGCAGGGTGCTTGCACTACACAGGATTTCAGTACGATCCGCATTTTGACCAACATCAAAATATTTTTTCTTATAGGAAAGCCTCGAGAGTTTTTTTGTCATTAATAAACTTCTCGAAAACATTTATTAGATCGGCCGGCTCTAACTTAGTAGGTTTCTCCACAATACAAAACGGGGCCTCCAATTATCCATTATAGAGTGAGAGAGAAATATTAAAAGTGTCAGACAGAGAGAGAGAGAGAAAGAGAGAGAAAAATAGAGTAATAGAGAAGGTCAATATTGAACATTTTGCACATTTTATCTCAGCAGATAATTGAAAAGTTGTCACACTGAAACTCACTGCTTTTCGGAACAACCCCCGTATATGCAGACCCTTAAGTTTATTTACTTGCAAATTGTTATATATGTACTTTATAACCCAAATACATACATATGTATATGATATATGATCTCTAAATGCTGAGGGCAACTACTCAATCACCTCAAATATTCGCAAAGTGTTGAAATCAGTTGAGAAACTTCGGTCGAAGCGCTGCCACTGGCGCACGCATTTCCTTGATTGGTTTTCTAAAGCCGCACAGAGTTCAAACGTTTAACCAATTATTTTCGAAAAGTCAATAACGAGCGATGGCCAATGCGGTGGCATGCATCTGCAACATCATACATCCGTGTCGCAATGAAATTTCCGGTACTTTCGTTCTACTTCAATGGATTGTGACGGGCATTGCAGCGATTGTAAAGGTGGTGCGCCCCGTCTGGTTGCTATGTATGTAAGCGCGTTTACAGTTATAGGCAATTTATTAATTAATTTAACTCTGACAGTTGGCGTACGCACGCATATACCGTTAAGAGATGAGGATTACAATACCACATGGATGTACATGGCGAATGATGACGGCGATACGGAATTGGCTTATCTGCTAGAGCCGCCACCAGAGGTCGAGCGCAATATGCCGATGTTCATACAATTCGAATATTATAATAGGTAAGCGTCCAATTTCGTGATTAAAATCGGCAATTATTGTCTCCACCACACATCCGCAGTGACCCAACTCCCTTCATCAGCAATTTCTCTATCGAACCCTACGAAGAAGCAACGCTACAAGAGCGTCACGAGATCGATGAGTGGGACGAGCTGTTGGCCGAATTTAAACCCGAACTGGATACAAAGATGTTAGTGCACGGTTGGAAGTCGAGCACGCAGAGCCGTTCGATACAGTCGATACGCCAGGCCTATACGAAGCGTGGTATGGTCAATGTGTTTGCTATAAATTGGCGCGATCAGGCGGATAGCATTTATTATCTGAAGCCGGCGCGTTATGCTATACATGTGGGACGCGCTGTGTCGCGGCTTATTGATTCGCTGGTGGAGAAACGCCATGCCGATCCGCAGCGCATACATTTGATTGGGCACAGCTTGGGCGCGCACATTATGGGCTATGCCGGTTCGTATTCCAGACATCGGGTCGGTCGTATCACAGGTAAGTTTTTTACCACTTATTCGCGGCTCTATTATAAAAATGTGACGATATTGCAGGTCTTGATCCTGCACGCCCGGCTTTTGAGAACTGCATTGGCCCTGAGAATCATTTGGATGCCACCGATGCGCAGTTTGTTGATGTGATTCATAGCTGTGCCGGCGTTTTGGGTTTCCAGAAACCGATTGGTACCGTTGATTTCTATCCGAATGGTGGACGTGCACCACAACCGGGTTGCAGCGAGTTGGCAAAGATTTTTAGTTAGTAGAATGTGGGCTTTTGGAATTTTTTTTTAAAGTTATTTTGAAATAGTTGTACGGAAACTTATTTATTATGGAACCGGATTCTAGGTCATTCAGTTGAAGTTTTTCCATCATAATAGAAATCCATATAACTCGTTTAAAAATTTACACATTTTCGAAACTGAAAATATGACAGACTGTCTGACTGAGCTTGGAACAATTTCTACATGAAATATCTACATCCTTGCTGGCTTCTTTACCGAGTTTATATTTTGATTACTAGTTTTGATTCGACTCCAAATGTCTAATATATTTCATGTTATACGCTAGTAGTGTTGTCATAGTTGAACAAGGGTCAACCGCTATTTGGAAAAACTATTTGATATTGGTGCGTTCCACTATCCTAATAATTAGTAGGTGGTATTCAGGGCATTTAAATTTATGGTAAAAATATAGAACAATTTTTTATTTTTTTTTTAGTTAGGAAACGATATGTTTCTATCTCTAGTTAAAGTCTTTTTTTCATTTTGTCTTTTCAGCTGGCTGCAGTCACGGTCGATCTCATGAATACTTCGCCGAATCTATTAATAGTGAAAAGGGGTTCCATGCCAATGCCTGTAATTCCCTAGAAGACTTGAAAGCAAACAATTGCGGGGGTGAACGCATACTTATGGGCGATCCAGTTCCATTGCATGCACATGGCGTATACTTTTTGAAAACAGCTGACAAGCCCAGCTTCGCTCTAGGAGTAAGGGGCTGAGAAGCTTTTTGATAATGTGAAACACGATAATATAATTAGTTATGAAAAAAGTATTGTATTGAAGATAAATAACTTTTACGCATTGAAAATAAAAACGAATTTGCAATTTTATTGACCTAATGTTGTAGAAAATTAGATTAGGAGAACAATTTTTGAAAATAGTATATTAAAAAAAACAACTTTTTTGTAACTGAATATTAACAAATTTATAACCAAATCCTACTTGGGGCACAACTCGACAAGTACATGCTTTTTTTTTTGTTTTTTTTTTTAAGTCTAAATAATATTTTTCAACAAAACATACTCATCAATGATTTGTGAATTAATATCAAGACATATGCCAAAAATATGTTGAGAACTATATTGAAAGATTGTTCCATCATTATTTATACCTCGAACTACTAACTGAAGTTCCGGAGGTAAAAGTTTGCTGCAAAAAATTTGTCGAAGCAACTACCTAATATAGTTGAACCAAAAACTAGGCTGTAAAAAAAAGAACTACAAGCGCTAGAAATTTAGTTTTGTATTTTTGAATAACGACGAATTTGGGACGAACTTGTTGTACATAAAAAAAAGTTATATAAAATAGTGAAATTGAGCTTTTCTCACAAGCGGTGTTAAGGCATATCTAGATTCTGCTTGTCATTATAGTCGTACTCCACAGCTGGAGTAATATGTATTATTTTTTGTGCAAGTAAACCTATTCCTTGCCTGATTTCCATAGTAAAAATTTACGAATTCAAATACATATTCATATGTTTTTTATTAGAGGATTTGGTTCAACAGTCAGTGTGTATCTAATCGAACAATTTGAAAAAAATTTCACTACCTGCATAAATTAAATAAAGAAGAGAACTTAAATTTAGATGACTGTTGCTATAAATACAAAATAAATGATACGAAAAGGCACTCAATTTCATATATTTTTTTAGCTCGCAAAGTATACCAAGAGCAGTTGAACTACACTGTAGCCCTCGTGCGCTTGCTGAGATTTAATTTTCCACTAAAAAGCCAAAAAAAAAATCGAGGAACATGTTTGCAGGAAAGTCGCCATTTCATCTCATCTCATCTCGCTAAGTGTACACCGCGTTACACTCTCAGTCCACGAGCCGCAAGAGAACTTAAAAGTTGTATCGCAAATTGCCGCTGGAGAACTTCACGTGCGACACTTTGTCCGATGGCGAGTACTGCACGCCCAAAAGCTTTTCAGTGGTGCTAGTGACACTGCCACTACCGACAGTCGGTGGAATGGGCGAAGTGCTCAGACCGTTATTGGCGGCATAAGTAGCGGCTGTGGGCGCAGTGGCGTACTGACGTTCAGCCAATTGTTGTTGACGTTGCATGTAGTTGGCATAGTCGGTGCTGGTGTAGATCGGGCTAGTTTGGTGATTGGCGCCTGCGTTAAAGGCAGCTGCGGTGGGGCGATGTTCGTTGTAGAGCTGACGCAACAGCTGCTGTTGGTAATCCTGTTGGCTCACGTATTGCTGTTGCTGTTGTTGCTGCTGCTGTTGTAATTGTTGTTGCTGTTGCAATTGCTGTTGCTGCTGTTGTTGTTGGTAGGCAAGATAGGCGGCTTGCAGCTGATCGACTTGCTGCGGCTGCGCGGTCTTCTGCGATGCCGTCGAATATTGTTGCTGCTGTTGCTGCGCCTGCAACAGTTGCTCTTGCAGTTGTTGTTGCTGTTGGATTTGCTGCAGCGTCTGAGCATAATGATCCTGTGCGACCTGTTGACCGGCGTATGTGGGCGTAGCCTGTGTGGTATATTGCTGGGCGTAGGGGTAAGATTGCTGGGCATATTGCAGCGCTTGTTGTTGGTATGGCGACTGGGCTTCAGCTGCCTGGGAGTACTGAAAAGAGAGTGATCGAGAGCAATTAGTTGAGTGTGTAAACTTTTTTTTCGCGCGAGAAGTTTTTTACGTAATTGTCCACTTCGGATGTATGCATCTCTGGTTTTGGTAATGGATACTGAATTGTTATGACTGCGGAGCGTTTTTCTATTTTCTTGGAAACGTATGATTTTTTACACAGATTTTTTAAGCGGGTTTTTATTTGTATTTAACATTTATTGAACAAAACATATATAGAATGAAAAAGCAAAGATAAGTTTTCACCTTTGTCGCTGTGACATTTAAATATTTCTCAGGTTTTTTTTGTTCAGTTCTGCAGTTGTGACAGTGTAAATTTCCTATTTGCTAGTATAAGCGTGCTATTAACGGGTTACTTAAAAAAGATAAACGTAAAGGTATATTAAATTTACATAAGATATATATGTATATTAGGGTGGAGCGAAAAAAATTTTTTTTTTGCTTATCCTGAGGGTAAAATCTGTAGATTATTTAAAAAGAAAATTTTTTGACGAAAAAAAATTAACATCTAGAGGCTCAGTTTTAAAATAAATTTGCGAGTTAAAATTTTTATTTCGCAAAAAAATTTTGATAAGTTTTCTAAAAGTTGTGGAGCGTTCTCTTTCTGGCAATTAAAAGTTATCAACTTAAAAAGATTTTTTGTGGCCTCTTAACGTTAACAAAAAAAATTTTAAAATATTATTTTTTTATAATCTACAGATTTTACCCTCGGATAAGCAAAAACAATTTTTTTTCGTTCCACCCTAATGTATACGCTTTAACATACACTAAATATTTCTCCATTATTTTATTATAGAAGTACCTAGCAGAACCCATTTTTGTATAAGGGCGTAGCCTTGCCCTCTAAATGGTTAAATGCACATATGTTTTAAGCCGCTGAAGCTAGCTCAACCAAACTTTCAGAGAGGAAGTCTTTTTAGTAAAAAAAACAAAAACCGTTATCTTTAAAGCTAAAATTAAAAATAATAGTTTTTATTGCCGTAAAAAAAAGTGTTTATTTAATTTTTATTTAGTACCGTTTTAAAAAAAATTAAAAAAATCACATAAGTATTTTGCATAAAAATTTCAAATAAGTATTAAAAAAGGAGATAATAAACAGTGTGCTTTAGAAAAATAATAAAAAAATAGATATGTTTTGAAGCAATAATAAAAGATATTTTTTTTTTCTCCAAAAAAAATTTTTTTTTAATTTTTAATTAAAAAAGTTTAATTTATTTTCTGTATTTGTATAATAAAAAGTCATAAATTTAATTCCAACTACTTAAAAAAAATTTGTTTTTTTAATTTTAAGGAATTTTCCATTACGCTAATTTAATTAAACATGTCTCACCAATTATATCAAAAATCAGTCAAACGCTTTCATATTAACACATTTACAGTAACAAATTGCATAAAAAGCAATGAATATCTATGCACACAACACTCTGATGCTATGCAAATGAATAAAATTAATTTTCACTGGAATTAAACAATTTCATGGCAATTAAATTGAGATCAAAGATAAACGAGAATATTTACATTTTCGAGCGAACACCAAAAAACAGCAAACAACATTAACAAATTGCTTATCTACGAGGCAAGCACATATGTGTTTGTTTATTTGTGAGTGTGTGTGTGTGGTTTCATATTATGCAAATGTGTTGAGGACGACTGTAGTTCGATGTGCAAGCGATGCTTCGAACTGTTGCATGACACTAGCAATGGCAAACAAAGGCTTCCCGATAGCAATTAAACTCTGTCAAAGCGATTAAGAGATGACGGTTCACATAGAGTTAGAAGCTCATAGAAAATCAAATGAAAAAATAATTGAAAATAATTTGCAAAATTTGTGAACTCAAAAACCCATAAATAAATATTTCAAAATATCATTTGGATTGGGACAGCCGAAGCGCGCTCATGGAAACGATTTAGAAACGGACCTCATACATTTAAAATACTACAAAATGAAAATAGAAAGACCGTTGCGTCTGCCTAGCAGCCTCGCAATGCTCGCGATGTGCTGTTGTGTGTCTCAACTATTAACAGCGGCAGCAGCGCCACAGGTAAGCACCTAATACCGCTACACAAACAACTAATAAGCCACTATTTTGCACTTCTGGGTGAGATGTTACAGAAAGGCGGTGCTGTACGCAATATAGGCATGGGCGAAGCTATGATACAACGCAGCGATATTAGTGAGAAGGATGCGTATTATCGGCGCAAGCGCTCGCTTACCAGCGATGAGCTGCCCGCCGATGTAATGGCAAAAGGACCGCATACATCTTTCACCAAACTCATGCGTAATATTAATGCGCCCTGTGTTGGTGGCGGCACCGGCGGTGGTACGGGTGGCGCTGGAAATGGCGGTGATGGTGAAGATATTGTGGATGAGGCACGTCGGCGTATCGCGCGTATGAGGGCGCGTAAAGCAGCCGCTGGCAAGAAGAGCACCAACAGCAAATCTAAGAAGAAAAGTGGACGACGTCGGCGGCAGGTGGAAGCTGCCGATCTTGAAGGTTTGGGTGAGAGTGAGCAAGCGGCGGTTAGAGATGAATTTCGCGCCCACATGCAGCAATTCACCGAGAAAATGAATCGTGCGTATGAGCACATTGCTTCCTCAGTGATGGATATGATGAAGCGTATGGAGGAAAACTTCTATGCTGAAGATGATGGGTCGTAAGGTGTTATCGTGAATATTATATTTTGGTTGTGGGTGTGATTAAGCTGTTCTGTCTTTTAGAAAATTATTTAAATATTATAGAAATAAATGTACTTACATATTGTATTATTGTTATAAAGCATTAGTTAAAAATGTCTTTAAAGCACTACTTCTCTATCATTAGCCCACCTTTACTCTTTACTTTGAGGATATTACGCCACTTTTTTAACTTAAGTAAGCTTAGATGCCGATTATATGTATCCCCATGAGCGAGAAATGCAATAAAATTTAAGCTCTTCAAAGATGCTTTTTTAGTTTCTAACTAATGCTGTTGGAATTCTCACCACGTTTATGGAATAAATGTCGTATATGCTACAAGTAGTAGCTCATAACCTCAAAGTTTTACCGAAACATCTAGAAAAGTATTGTCCCATGTTAAATATGATATAAGCTGTCATTTTGTTTGCGTAAATTAAAAAAGGTTACACCGTTTGGGTTTCCTTTGACTTCCGTCAAGATAAAATTTTAGAAACTTTATTTCTAAGAAAGGCTCCTTTGAATACTCAGATGAAGGTTAAATTTTCGAAAGAACCACTTGACAAATTAAATATAAGTTTGTCGATTTATCTAGCGAAGTACCAACTAGGTCTACATATTTACGTTTATCATTGAGAACAGGGAAAATAGTTCATATTGTTAAAATAGGCAATAACCATTTAAGAATTGATATTTTTTATATTTTTCGTACGATCTCACAGTGAAGGCCACAAGCAAGGTAGCTGCTTTAATTAGCAGACCTGGTAGAGTCCACAATATACAAAATTTTGCCTGGGCAGTACTTTGATGGATTTTTATTCCGGGCAAAAGCTTCTCTTCCCGATAACAACTTATTCTAGATGACTTCAAGTTTTCATATATGATAAAGTTTGAAGTGGTGAACTAGGTAGTATATATCATGATAATAGTGAGTATTGAACCGTAAAGACTAGAAATACACAGGATAGACCAAGTTCATAATGCTACCAAACTTAACTTAATCCAAATTATAAAAAAATTTGCTCAGAAATTTCACTTTGCATTTCTCCAGATATGACTGATTTTTAATGTCTTTACTCTTCAAGTACAAGTACAAACTTACAAGTACCACTCAGGAATGTTAAAAAACGAACTCAACGCCACCTAGCTACTTAACCATGCCGTCTGCAATAAAATTTGAGTAAACTCATTTATCGCGCATCAACTGAGAGTCGATTCAGTTTCCATCTATTCGCTTGTATCCTGTCACAATTAATTTATATGTCACGTGGCACTTGGCAGAATCTATGTGACGTGACTATCAAACCTATGCATGTGTCTCTCTCGTCTATCTAACCTTAATTACTGCGATTGGTATGCGTTTTATCGCTTTAGATCTACTACATTCAACTTATATGTTCGGCACTAATTTGCACCAATTAAAATACTTCAAAAAACAACACATTTTCGTGTTAAACGGCAACAATAATCAAACCGCGTATTTATCGGTAGCTTTAAAATGCCTTCATTAGAATTCCATGCCGTGGAATATTTAATTGAAATTGAGCTCGTACAGCAGGCAGAGCGTCATTTAGCACGAGTATACGCTCACATAGCAACTTCCTAACGAGGACAATATCGCTGGGGGCGTTGCGGCATCGAAACCAACACACAGACATATAAATATTTGCAAAATAAAATAATTGGAAGCGAAAATGAGACGTAAACAATTAAATTCACTACGCATTTTGTTTGTCGTTTTAACTTTTCTTCTGTGCTTCAAAGCGAGAGTGGGAGCTTTAATGCTCGGTGGCGCCGAGCTGAAGCAGCAAACGCAATCGCAGCCGGTGAGTGGTCCATTGCCAAGGCGAAATAGAGACTTGCGCTCAAAATAAAAATAAAAAAACCATTAAATAGTTTAAATTCATGAAAGAACTCCAGTAAAAGTATTTCATTTCAGTTTTTGGCGCGTAGTGTGCGCCAACAACAACCGCAAGCCGGTCGCCAACACGATGCGCGCCGCTCGCAGCCTTTTAACGCCTTATTAACTTCAGTTGGACAGTTAGCCGATTCACCACTTCGCCATGGCGCGCATTTAGCGCTGACAGCTAGCAAAACAGGTAGCCACAAGCGTTTGGCGCGCGCAGCGGATGATGGTGGTATGAGCTTCGGTGATATCTTTCAGTCAATAATTCAGTTTGTGTTGAATAGCATTGACGCTTTTATGAAGCTTTTCTCACCAAATGATGGCGACAAGTAGTAAGCGGGTAATGCTTAGGCGTAAGAGTTTCGTAAGGAAGAAATTACAGACAATTAACTATTTCAGCTGATTTGCAGATATTTTAATGCTTTTAATGGATGATATTTAAATTTTAATAAATAATTGTTTTGTGTAGTATTGGAATTTTTATTGCACAATGTTTTATTTAAAATATTCGAAGTCCATCAAAAAATCCCTTTAATCGAGTTCAAAGTTATCTATCATGAAAAAAAATTTTAGAATCCCGAAACATCGGGATTTTTTTTTTAAACAATAAACAAGTCCAAATCGGAATTTCAAAGGTACTGTTTCGGGCTTCCGAAATTTTCAGATTCAGTATTATACCCTGAACAGGGTATATTAAGTTTGCCACGAAGATTGTAATACCCAAAAGAAAAGTTCGAGATCCTATTAAGTTTATATACTATGTACAAATGATCAACATGATGAACTGAGTCGATTTAGCCATGTCCGTTTGTTCGTCGGTACACAGGCACTAGTCCCTCGGTTTTTGAGATATCGACCAGAAATTTTGCACACGTCCTTTTCTCATCAAAAAGAATTAATATCGGCCAAATATAGAAAATAGGTAGCTATCATACAAACTGACCGATCCAAGTTTGGTTCTTATATGAAAAACTTTTTTTTTTTTTTTGAAAATATATGTATCCCCCCGGAATTGGTCGTAGATTATAATCCAAGGCATCACTACATTTTCCGAAGAAATTGTTCAGATCGCACAACTACTAGTTTGGCATATAGCTGCCATATAAAATTAGCGATCAAAAAAATATCCTTTTTATACCCTTTTTTACTTTTAAAAATGCACCTGTAAAGGGTATATAGGTGTTTTTTGTTATTCAACTTAAAAAATTGGAAACTTCTAATGATTTTGGGGGATACCGGAGAAAAATAAAAGTTTGACATGAGCTGGTTGTGGACTCCATATACAAGCATTGATAAATAAAACGCAAAATTTATATAATAATGGCAATCAATAATTAATTAAATATCCGTATGAATAACGGAATTGCTTGTACAATACATTTCCTACTCCTACTCTACTCTCATTTGCCCACAGTCAAGGTAACGATAATCGAACACGCAATATCAAAATGAAGCGGAAATAGAAATGCCTGTAATTAAATAGCTATAAGTACTTAATTATATTGCGCCGAGAATGGTCTCGCGCTGAAATTGATGTTTATTATATTCAATAATAAATGCAAAGAGATAATATGTGATTCGTTTTGTTTTGCGATATTCTATCAGCTTCCCTTGGGGCATGGTTTAACTAGAAATATGCTTTTCGTTTTTAAAAAAATTCTTAATTGCATAAGCATTAAATACACTGGCGCAATAAATTCTATTAACGTATTAAGTTAATTCTGAGCAGCGGCTTAATTGACTGCTTAAATTAACTAAATAGAGTGCGGAAAAGTTAATTAGCTTGTGCAATTTATATAAAAAATTAACTAAATATATATATATATATATATATATATATTTTTATATATTATTTTGCAAAATTGAGAATATCAATTAAATTTGAGATGTATGTATATTTATTGTTCTTTACTTCTGAGCCTGTAAAATATTAAATTTGAATGAAGAAACTGCTTTTTGGAACACATATTTTTGAATAATAATAATGGGAAATTTTTTTGAATAATCAGCTTATATAATAATTTTTAGAACTGTGTATCAAGATATAAAATTTAATTGAAAATATTTGTGGGCTTTACTATTTTTAGTTAAATTTTATTTATATTCATAATTTCAAAACTATTTTATTAGAAATAAGTTTGAGCTTGTTTCAAGCGGGTTCTTCGTTCTTTTCGCATTTGAAGAGAAAAAATAGTTTTATAGCATTTCAAAAATATTTGCCTGTTCAAATGTCCAATTAGTATTTAATTCTTTGTATATGAAATTAGATATACTTGTATAATAATAATAACAATATATAGTTTTAAAAAGTCTAATAATATCAAAAAAGAATTTCAAAAATGCTTTTTAAAATTGTTCAAACAAAAAACACGAACATCAAATAAGATAAAAAAAGGAAATTATAATTATTTTTCAACAACTTTTCGAATTAATTTTTTTTTTCAAAAACAAAAACCAAATTTTTAGTTATCAAAAACTTTTTGAGAAAGTCAAATTAAGTTTTTTTTAAAATGAAATTTTTTTGCAATTAAAAAATCGAAGTCATTTTTTGATTCAAGACTTCTTGTTTTGTAAATCAATATGTTTTCGAAAAAAACGAAATAACGCTTTGTCTCATAACTTGATTTTTTATTATTGTAATTTAGCAATATTTTTTTCAAAACAAATCGAATTTGCGCTTTGTTTCAAAACTTTAAGTTTTCTTAAATAGTTATCAATATATTTTTGAAAAAAAAACGAATTAATTATTTTCAAACAAAGTTCTTTTCTCTTTGAAATAATTATCAATAATAAATAATATTAAAAAAAAAATAAACAAAATTAACATTTCAATATTTGACTAAAACCGGTGAATGCTATTGCCTCGTTCAAACTTTCTCCTAGAACTTTCAAATTTAATTATCGTATTTCCGTGTCGATTTTTTCATTAATTTTAAAGTATGCACAATACTATATAGATTATAAGTGGATTTATTCACAAATTCATTTACATTATGAGGGTACAGTAGTCCTTTTTTCATAAATCATATTAATTTTCAAACGTTCTTCTCCACCCATTTGATTCATAACTATCCTAAACCCCAAAATAATTATTACCTGCAAGTGGGATTTTTCCTCCGCTATTTAATGAGAGATATTATCAATATTCATTTAATTGCCACAAATCATCACTAATCTTCAATTACACGAATTGCCTGTCAACTGCACACGAAGAGAGCTTGCCTGCAAAAATAAACTATTACATACCACACAGTCGCGTTTGCTAAATTGAATCAGACGGACAGAGGATGCAAAAGCTCATATTTTTAATACACAGTGTTGCATTTTGCTGCTTGCACACTTTACCGTTGCCAGAACCACAGGTTGTTCACACTTTTTTCGCTACTAAGCTCAAAATAAATTTAAATGAACACCATTATTTTTATTGCATTACGAAAAGGACTTCCAAACCGGCGCCCTCATGTTGGCGGGTCAAAAGAAAGAGGTTTTGGATAACGGCGCCGCCGCACACGATCAAAAGCAATTCGAATTTATGGGCATCAAGGTAAGCAATGATATGGTATTCGGCTTTGGCGATGCGTTGAAAATGCCGGGACGTAGGCGCAGACTTGAAGTCGACCCACAGCCAACGGAAGCAGATAATTCTATAAGCAATGATGCGGATTATTCATTCCATACTGAGTACATTGATTGTGTGCCATATATCGAAAATGAGGAACGTAAAAACGTGGCGCTTATCGACACAGTTCTTCGCAGAGTAGTTCATCGTACTCATCGTCGGACTCATCGTTCTCTTCTCTCGCTTCGTCGAGTGAATCGGAAGAACGTTAAGGCACGATAACGCGATGAAAAAAACTTAAGCTCGAATTTTCAATAAAATATGTTTTTATCAGAAAAGTGTTTTCATCTCTGGCACTCAGTTACTTTTGTACAGCGACTAAACTGTTTTGGCGATAGATGTTTGGTTGTCGTTAATTTGAGTGTAAGCAGATAGAAATTATATTCAAAGTAAACAGGTTTTAGATATTTTAGTAAAACTCGTACAACAGTAAAAGAAGTCTTAAAAATATGTTTAACATAAATTTAAATCCTCGTTTTTTAGTCTCTGAATGGACCAACGTTAAGTGGCAAGTAAGAGCCTAGAGTCCTTTTTGGCGCAATCTTGACGTTTAGTTTCAGCTTTGTGCGTTGAGAAGGGTTTAATTAGAGAATGTTTCATATAAACTCTGTGTAGAGTCTGTGGAGAACTGGGGTTATACCACTGGGATATGTAATGATAAAGCTACAGCCAATCTCTCTCCTCTTTTCTTCCCTTCCTTTT